CAAATAATGATATTGGGGAACGTAGTTGCTTGTATAGTTTTATGGGTGGGACATTTAACTTTGTATTGGGAAATTGTTACTTGTGTATTCAGACTTGGTTTCACTCATGACTATGCTGATACTTTGTAACTAATAAACATGTTCTTTGAGGAATTTGCAAGCCTTGGAGTTCTGCTTTATTCGTCTCTGTCTGTCGGAACCATGACATATACAAAATAACTCAATATATTTTTTGTTTCTGCTGGCATTAATTCTAATTATTTTGAGACTGAACCAGCCATTTTCACATTTTGTCCTTTTCCAAAATGATAGAAAAAAGGTACTTTTACAGACATGTAGAAAGCCAAACCCAGCAAAGAACCTGGGTGAAAATGTGCTGCTGCTTAAAATGAGTTCACTGAGGTTTTTTTCCTTTCAGAAAACAGAAATCATATAGAACTATCAGTCTGGTGAAGTGGTTAGAGAGATCAAATTCCAGTCCTACCTTTAGGGATAAAGCCAGCTGGGTTACCTTGAGCCAGTCAGATACAATCATCCCTAGAAAGCAAGCAATAGCAAACCGCTTCTGAAATTTTGCCAAGAAAACTACAGGGACTAGTCAGCAATGACTCACAGACTAGCGCATAGAAACTATTTGAAGACTGGTTCATTCTCTGCGCAACCATTTTTTCTCTCCTATACTCATCATTTACAGTGCAATCTTAGTTATATTTTGTCAGATTCATATCTCACTTTTTATAAAGGAGCTTTTAAGGCAGCATACATAATACAGGTAGTCCTCAAATTACAGCCACAATTGAGCCTAAAATTTAGGTTGCTAAGTGAGACATTTGTTGAGTTTTGCTCCATTTTATGACCTTTCTTGACACAGATGTTAAGTGAATCTGGCTTCCCTTATTGACTGCTTGTCAGAAGATCGCAAAAGGGGATCACATGACTGCAACCGTCATAAATATGAATCAGTTGCCAAGTTTCTGAATTTTGTTCACGTGACCATGGGGATGCTGCAATAGTCATAAGTGTGAAAAATGGTCATAAATCACTTTTTTCAGTGATGTTGTAATGGTCACTAAAAGAACTGTTGTAAGTCAAGGACTTCTTGTATTTCCTCCATTTTTTTTCTCTAGAAGCACATCCAGGTGAGTTAATGGATGATTCAGATATTTGCACATCAAGTGTATTTTTGTAAATGACTGGGTAGCTTGCATGGTTGTTTTGGTAGTACAACACTGTGTTTTTCAAACCAATGATTTTTCAATAATATGTATCAAAATTTATATTATCTTCTACTAGCATTTAGAAGGCATCAGGTTGAGGACTGCTAAAACAGAAATACATCTGAGAAATATTTATAAGATGCAGACTTTACAGTGATTTTTCAGGAGTCACCATTTACTGCTGCAATAAATGTCTGCTGAATACACATCAACATCAACATTTGTTTTGTTTTGGAGTTTGCGTTAAAGTACTATGAAAGTGGCTGTTTTAAGCATCACAAGAGAAAAGGCAGTGTGCCACGTCACTTAAAATGCTTCTTGCTATTCAGCAGCTCCAAGATGAATGCTTCTTGCATCCATTGCAGGGTTTTTTATTCACGTAGCACCGAATAATTAAATGCATATGCTACACATGTAAAGAAAAATACCAGAGACCCAGTTTGATGTAATGGTTAAGGTGATGGTCTAGAAACCAAGATACTAAATTTTAGATCTATCTTAGATATGAAAGCCAGCTGGGGGATTTGGGGCCGTCATTTTCCTTCAGATCATTCACAAGGTGGTGATTGTGAGGAAAATAGGTGGGAGCATTATTGTTATGTTTGGCCTTGGGTCAACACACACATGCACACACAGAGATAAAGTTGCCTTATTGGGAGATAGGGAGCACATAAATTTAATAAATAATACCCAAAACAACTTTCATGGACTCTCAAAAAATTTGATACTAAAAACCGAGCTCGTTTCCTTTCATTAGTGCAATCTATGCTTTTTGGTTTTTCAAAACTGAACTGTAATGGGAATCTGTCTTATCAATTTAAGCATCAGTTAAATCCAAGTAATTGAAGTTTTGTTTCTAAATTCTCCATTGGGGAGCACTGTTATTACTTCTTAAAATAAATTAAATTTTAAGAAAATGCACATTCTTTTTTGAAGCTTGTTTATACTTTGCTGCCTGATAGTTTAAGATTGCCGTGTGCAAAAACTCCACCTTTTCCAACTGTAATGTTTGGTTTTGGGGTGGAGATCTACCATGAGTCACTAAGTCCAGCTGGATTTTGAAACAGGTAACTAACTCCTTAGTGCCACACACTGTATAACTGCTGTTATAACCAGATAAGGAAACTGATAAACCACTTGTGAATTTCAAAGCATACATATACTCAGAAATACTACTTGGGTTGTGATATAAATTAAACAAGTTAAGATATTTTCATACATTTGGTTTCTCCATCCATGAATGGGCGAGTCTTTAAATTTTGTTCAAATTCTGCTAATATGCCCAATTGAAATAGCAGTATTAGGATTTCCTTAGTAATTTTCCAGTTAAGCTTTTGAAACCAAATTCTACATTTAAAAAATTGTAACACATAAGAAAATCTAAAGAGTACTTGTGGATTTTTAAAATTAATAAAGCAAAAATGTGCAGCATTTCCTCTATTTTTTATTTAGAGTGTATCTCTTGGATCTTGCTTCTGAGCAATAACAAATTTATTTCACAATCTTTCTCTCTGACCGTATCAGTCAAAAATAAATTATGCAGCAATATGAAAGTGGATATGTGCATTTAGGCCTGACACCTTTAATATTTAGTTAACTTTTACTTAAAAAAAAGTGGGGCAGAAAAAATACACTTCTCATTTTGTTTCCTCTGGTAGCAAATTTTGAAAAGGATGACAACATAACAGATTCTTATCTAGACCCAATCAGATATGTAAACTCTAAATAGGCAGTTTGGTGAGTAAATTCTGGGTAATTTTCATGTTGGTCAACATGATTTTCATGCCTGCAAGATGCATTTGCCAGAAAAAGGGTTTGCCCTGAATTATGCTGCATTAAAACAAAACAAAAAATAACCTTGATAGGGAAAAGAAGTAGAAGTTGATTTTTTTCTCCCTTTTGCATGAAAACATTGCAAGTTCAGTTCTGAAATTGGAAAACATTCTGTTGGGCTATGTTCTCAGAAGTACCTTGTTCCCAAAGAGTGGATTTATTTAAGTTTTGTTTATTGAATGAGCAACAGTTGGCTGCATTCATACAACACACTAAGTCAAAACCAAATAAACTATATTATGGTTTAGCGTATTATGTCAACTGATACTAATTCCATAGTGCTGGGAATAAAAAATTAAAGCTCTCTCAAGGTTGATGAATTAAAACTCAATAATATTAGTTGGGACTACTAGGTATTATGGTCAACATTTGGCGGGGTACACTTTCCCCCCCCCCCTTTTGTACCATGGTAGATTTCAGGAATGTTTTGTTTGCTCATCACTACTATAAAGTAACAGTGATTTACAAAAGGTAGGACTTAAAAGTAGACCAATGGGTGGTAACAAGTGGCTGATCTTGAAATATTGTAGTTAAGCAAGAATGACTTGATTAGTATTGGATGAAGACCATAGAGAACATTATTTTGCCAGGCACTGGCATTTTCCCTAGTGAGCTCAAAATTTGTATCTCTTTGCTTCCAAAATCCATGTTTGTTGAATTAGTGGATGTTGCATGTGTTATAATTCCTACTCTTTCCCCTCTTGGTTGCTAGGCAAAACACTGTCCTCTGGAGAATTCTGGAACTCTCACTCCACAAAAACTATATTGGTCTCTCCACTAGCTTTCTACCCAGGGAATGAAATGGATGTTTTGAAACAATCCTTCCTTCCTCTCCCTTGTGTGTTAAGCTCAAATGCAGAACTTACAAACCATCTGCAACCTAGAAGAACCTGTTTGCCTCTCTGGGTTTTTTTTTTTTTTATGTGTGTGTGTGGGTTGTTCATGTAAGTAAAGCAAGCAAGAAGTCCTGATGCAGGTCTTGTCTGCAGATGACGCTCCCTGTCTGAAAAGCAGCACCAGAAAAATATGCATTCTGACTATGCAGTTTATTTCAACATCCAGTTTATTTTTGTTTATTTTGTTTATTTTGTTCCTCCTGGGCTGTTTGGGGGATGGGAGGGATGCGTGAGATGGAACTGGTCAAATGAAACAACACAATAAATGCATGCTTTTTTATACTGATTTTTAAATTCTTTATGTTAACATTTAAAAAAACACCTGTTCATACATAATGAAAGCACTTAATTTTATAATGCCAAATCTTTTTAATAAAAATATGTTTTGGGTAACCAAGATTAGTTTCTTATGTATCTGAAAAAGAAGTTTTAAGTCATAATTAACAGACTTTTGATTAAACTTCATATTTAATATTAAATTAATGAAGTTTTAACCAACTGATAGAGGAATAAAGGCTTCTTTGGAAATTAGTACCATTGTATACCAATGAAATGGTATGAGAATTTAATGCAAGATGGAGAAATGGACAATATCCTACATGTTACTGGACTGAAATTTTAAATAACCCTCACCACATGTCTGTTGGATTGAGAGTTATATGCAGCAGCATTAGGGGTGATCCCTCATTTAAAAACTAGGACTATTAAATGGATTTATGCAGTTGACAGATAAAAAAATGTCACCACATTCATCTGACCACAGCCCCATCAATTTTTAATATACATAGTGACACACTTAAAAAAAAGCAGTACAGCTTTGATTGCATGGTTATGGCTGCCATCCTGACTTTTATTTTACACTACCACCCCAATATTAAAACATTCCTCTGCCTGAAGGAGTTATGTCAATGATTAAATAGAGGAACAATAGGACAGTCGAACCAGCTTTTCCTAAATTAAGTTACATTAGCCTCAGATTTAGACTTCCTTACAAGTAATTTCATGTGTTTAAAACCATCCATGCAGAAAATAGCATTGACTGGAAATGGAATTATAGCTGCAGTATGTTGAATTTATTAAGACAACTATAAATTGCATTGCTATTATAATGTGCATGCATTATAATGATCCAAATTGGAAATACGTTTACTGCATTAGATCATCTAAGATTAGCAACTTCAGAGCAATGATGCATTTACAGGACAAAAATTTGAACTTTGGAAAGCTGACCACATACATATAATAGATTTGAATAGCATTTCTAAAATATTAAATGCAACAGATATTATTTCATGAGGTAATTTTGTATTTTATTTACCTTCTGGAAAGGTAATAAAGGTGCTATAGAGAGGGTACAGTGCACCAAAAACATCTACACAGCCCACCATTTTGAAAGAGAATTTAAACAAGGTAATTCACAGGTTTTAAGTATGGCATGCCTAATAAGGACTAATTCTGCATCCTGCTACTTAAACAGTGTTACAGTGCTCATGACTGACTGTGCTTCATTCTTCATTTTTGTCCAAAATGTGTGTTTCATCCATGTCATTCTAGAGTAATTCAAGGCGACAGCAGTAATGCTTTCAACTCAGAATTAGACATCCTTAAGGTCCAACCTACAAATAAAAGGGGATTGGAAAGATCCCAAATACAGATGTCCATTGTATTCATGTGCTTCGCTTATATGTGTTGCCACCATTCCATTTGGATCGTGGAAGCTTCTTCTGTAGGATCCAGTATCACTTAATTCTACCACAAGGCTGTACTTGGGCACAAATTTTATCACAGTTTCTTGACTGAGCAGCTGCAACACAAACAATCATGTTATAGACAGTTTTCTTTGAATCATCAACATTACAACATTTGAGGTGATTGAATCAATTACTGTCATCTGTTTCATTATTACATGTTTTAAATACCTGGATATGCATAATGCCAGACAAAGTTAAGCACTTTGGAATATAAGTGATAATAATTGTTACTGTTAATCAATGGATGTGTATTGAAATAGATTTAATTAGAAAAGTTCAATACTAGTTGGAATATTTTTACATTAGGTTTATATTTATGGCATTATCAAATACATAATTGGAGAATACCCTAGGATATTACACAACGTTAAGTACAACTTATATAACTATCACTTGGAATTGTCTAACTTTTTAAAATAATTATAGTAGAAATATGAAAAATAGCAATTTATAACATCTTACAATCAAATTACTGATTATAAGTATAATACATAAAAAGAATGTTTAGTATATCACAACATTAAGTAGGATATTCTTTTTGCTCCATTTCAAGCTACATGACTTTTGCAGAAATCCTTTATATAGTTCAGTTTATGAACAAAATTGAGCTGGAATCTCAATGAGCAATGTGGTTATTAAATGTGATGTTAAATGACTGCCCATGTGACGGCTTTGGTTCAACAGCAATCCCAGCACTGGTCATTAAGCAATTGTGTGGGTTAAGTGATCACAAGTGGTTTAAGTGGACAAGGTGCTTGGAGCCTAGATAGAAGAGACCCTAAGGCTTTGCTCAGAAGCTGAAAATCCTCCAAGCTGAAATTCACTTGAGGCACCTTGCACTGTTTACCTTATTGTGCTGGCTCTATGCTTGGGTTTGGCTCCCTCTCATCTCATCTCCAGGGGCTGGCTGAAAGAGCTACCTGCCAAAAGATGTCACCTATCTGAATGCAGAAGGGAATGCCTTCCACAGAGTGATGGGAAGATGTCATCTCTCCTCTGCATGCAGAAGAGAACTCCTTTTGCAGGTGCATAAACAGAGCTCAAATCATCAGGATCCGAGTTCCATTTCTGCACCCTGTGGGAGGATGTCATTTGACCGAGCAGAAGAGAATACCTTCCGTGGAGTGCAGAACTCTCAGATCATCTCCACACCAGTGAAGTAATTCAGCTCCCCTTAGTAGATAGCTCTTTCACTCAGCCCCCCAAAATGAGAGGGAATCCCCTTGCCAAGCAGCAGCAGCTTGCAACCTTCTCTGCCAACTTCTCCACTGACTTTCTGGGGAAGCCTGCAAAGAGGATTGCAAATAACAATCCCATGACTGGGGGTGTGTGTGGTTACTTAGCAACTAATTGTAAATGCTAATAGGTTGCCAACTACCCAAATTGTGATCATGGAACTGTGGGGGAGGGCAGGGCAACGTGATGTTTTCCAACAGTCAAAAGTTGATGTTATATATGCAGAATGTCAATAAAAGCAACAGAAACATCTACTGAACTAGAGAGTGAAAATATCTTATTTGCCAAACTTTCTTTTAACTGCAATCTTTAAGTATGGCCAAGCAAGGAGCCAAACAATAATTGCCACTACTGACAGAAACTGAGTGTCTGGTAGTATGATTTTCATTCGTTCTTCATCCTGAAATTCAGAGTTAAAAATACAAACTCATACAGGCCTTTTTTTGTGTGCATATACCAATTCCAAAGATAAGGAATCCATACTTTTCAGTGTGTTTGCCTTGACTGCAACATTAAAAAATGATTACAACGGTTGTTGCATTCCTTTTATTTCCTCCCTACTTTTTTATTATTTTATTCTTTTTCTCTTGTTCTGTATTATTAAACAAATAAAGTATTTTTTTAAAAATTGCAATGGCTGGATCTGAAACAGGACAGGGAGAAGAAATAAATTCTCTTCAAAGGAAGCCTATTCAAAAGAATTTCAGTTAGAGGAGGCTGAGCTTAGTCTAGTATATGAATACATAAGATTTGTTACTGCTGTTTCTTACCTTTAATATGATTCTTTTAATCCATGGTTTTTCAGATAAGAAATCCACCATAGAAAATCCAGGGTTTGCTCTAATAGCTGACATAGCTACCCAATAACCTCCAGAGCTGCTTAAACGAATGTTGTCTGGAAAACCAGGCATGTTTTCAACAAACAGATCCTCTCCACCTTTCATCAGTCCAGATACATAATACCTAAAAATGCATAACATTTTACAAATTTGCTGTATGAAACAAAGAATGTATTAATATTTTATGCTATATTTCTAACCTACTACCCCTAATGATCAGAATGCAGTTGGAACTATAAAACATGTATGAAGAACACAGAATACATTAAAGCAATAGCAATACAGAACAAAGGACGGGATAAATTTGTGCTTACTAAAAACTAAACAAAGATCACAAAACCTACATAGCATCTCAGTTAACCAGTAACATTCTTTAGAAATTGAAGAACACAGTCACTTAGTAAAAAAAATCCTCCTTGCTTAGCAAAGACAATACATAAATAGGAAATGTTTCTACTCATTTACCCAGACAAATAAACTAAACTAGCATTTAGTCAATTCTTAACAAAATAGCTGGATCTGTACAGCATCCTTACAAGCATCTCATCTACCTTCGTATTCTTGCCATAACTGTTTCGGCCACCAACACAAAGTCTTCAGCAGGAGAGAGCTGGACTCCATTTGGAAATCTGAGTCCTTCCATTAAGACTTTGACTTCCTTTGTCACGGTGTCATATTCAAATAAGCTAAAGACAGAACAATTACAGGGTATTACTAATTGTATTACTAGTCCCCTCTCAATCTCAATATGATCTTTGACAATCCTATATCAATATATATATATATATATATATATATATATATATATATATATATATATATATATGAATTACTCATATTATGCATAAAAACAAACTATAGCTGAACATATTTAAAAAATAGCACTGATGGAACAATTGGCCTCTCAAACCAGGAAGTTTCAGAGCTTAGTTATACTACTATAAGAAGGCCTTTTAACTTGCCCAAACCAGATATGCCTCACCAATCATCAGATTTTAAGGCTGACACAGGTTAATATGAAATACAGTGGTCCCTGAGGTATCTTGAAAACTATATGTATCTCCAACACTTGAATTGTACCAAGAAACAAGGTGGTATTTAGGGTTATAACAGGGCCAGTAGCACCAAACTAGCACTTTGCCCCTGCACATACCCATCATATTATTCTCCTTAAGGATAAGCAACTATGTAGAGAATAGAAAATTTCCTGTGTCAAGGAAGAAAGGATAAGAAAATATACCTCAATTAAGAATATCAACAGATGAAATTTAAATGTTACTTCACTATTTTAACATTTTAATAATAACCACCAAATACTTGTTTCTAGAAATGCTATCCCCATCATCCCCCCAAAAATTATTCTTCTTGTGATGCTTGATCACAATTTTGTTATATAATTTACAACTCAGTCTAAAACATTTACCGTCCATCATCTGAAGCCTCCATGATTAATAAGGAATAATCTTTTCTCTGCCATTTACTACTAGAATCTGTAAAATAGATTTTCCTTCCATCTCGAGTCATTGTAAGATCGTTCACAAAGGACATGTTCTTCCCTTCAATAGGAATTTTTGAAGACACAAGTGGCCTGACTGCACCTGGTCACAGAAAAACAATTTTTAAAAAACTCTTTGCTCTTTTGTACTTGTATGAGTGTATCATTTCTACTTATGCCTGCACTGAATTTATTTAATATTAAGGATTCAAAACAATTAGCAGATTCTTAAGCAGAATTCAAAATAGGCGTCACTTGCATATCATGGTTTACAGCTTATCATTCAAATCATAATTAAAACCAACTAGGATTTGTTGCAATGTGTATGTGGGGGGAAGGAGAGGTAGACTTGCCTGAGTCAGGATTTATTTCAAACAGCCCATAATAGGCATCTAGAACAAAAAGAGTATTGTTTGGTCCAACACGGATTCCTAGTGGTCTCCCACATGTAGGCTCATCTTCTTTTGTACCTTTTAGAAAATACAAATAAATATAAAGTATGCAGCTCCTAAACAAAAGTTTCTATTGTGCTTCCAAAACAGAGTATCAATAATCTTGAATCTGACCAATAAAAGATAAATTTTGAACATTCAAAAACATCTCTGCTTAGTTAGATTTATATCCTTTTTCTTCATATAATAATGACAAAACCCATATTCTGATGCAGTTAAAAACAACAGTGCATCTTGCTAGACATGAAGGGATGGGCAATACACGACCTTCCAAATACTGGAATGCAACTCTTATTACCTCTCTTTCCTGATCAGGTTGGTCAAGTCTGAAGGGAACTGAGTTCAGTATAACATCTGGAGAATCATTCACTGCCCATCTCTGTATAAATAAATATTCTTTTTTTCTTCTGTTCAATTCTCAGATACATAATGATGAATATTGTAACACAGTACTTAATTAATGTTAACCAGAAATATTATCAAGATTTTATTAGAGGAAAATTCCTATCGTGCTATCTTTCACTTTAAAAGGAGTTTGTTAACCAAATATCCATAGGTTTTTTCACAACCACACAACCAAAATTACCACTCCAAAATGCACAAACAACGTATCATGAAATAATTTTTCATATATTTAAAAATGTTGAGTTGGAAGGTATGCAACGAGTCTGAAATGGTTTACTAGACAAGTCAAACCACAATATAAAAGGAATAACAAAATAAGTAAGTGTTTGTTTACCACAAGGACCATGGCCAAGACGAGCTAAAGTGGAAATTTTCCCATTTTCAATCTTCAGAATTTTTCCATCAGCAGTACCAGTAAACAACACATCTATGAGAGACAAGCATTGACATGAGCTATGCATTTATTTAACACATAAGGCTTATATAAGACTTCAGAACACTCAAAATGCTTTTTATACAGTGATGTCACAAAACCCTCAAAGAACAAAACTTTAGTTTGCCTTCCATTATATTTGTATTGGCATATTTTATGTTATAGAAGATAACATAGAATTATCACTGAAATGCATTTGCCTCCATCAGCAATAAGCTTTATTTATTATTTATAGACCCGGGGGGGGGGCAGCAACAATTCAAAGTATATTACAATTAAAATAGTAATGTAAGTAAGAAATAATATATGATGATTGCCTGAACACCAAGGGCCAAAAACTTGCTGAAACAGTTCTAATACAACCTGCTTCCAGAAAACGAAGAATGGGTTCAGGGGTCCCCTACTTCTAGGGGGAACATATTCACAGAGTGGGAGACTGCTACTAAGAAGGCCCATCACCTGGTCCATATCTCATATACCTTCCTAGTAGGGTGATTCTTCAACAGAACCTCCCTAAATATTTACGAATGGAAAATATAACTTGGGTGCTGTACTATTAAGGGCCTTATGACCTTAAGTGTTATGAATTGGGCTGGAAACCTACCGCAATAATTTCAAATCAATGGAAGTCTACACTGATAGGATTTATTGATATAGTTCTTCTATTTAAATATTACAGACTTGTGGCTGTTTACAATAACAATTAACAGTAAAAGTCCACATTATATAATATGTCAGTAGTCTTGATGCTACATTTTATACCAGCTGCAACTTCAGATTTGTTACTAAAGACTGCCTTATAATGAAAGAAAGAGTTCACATATTGTATAAAGTTCTAATACATGGAACAGAAAGTTTCATACATGGAACAGCAAATCTCAAATGGTCTGTTTGGACCAAATTGTTAGCATCTTTAATTTTATCAGATGATAATACCTTGTCACTATGATGACGATTATCTATCTTAGATTTCTAAAAATTACTTTCTTAGCTCTACTGAAATTGCTGAGAAGACTGTTGAGAAACTGCTAGCTTCCCATAAAACACATTAAAGGGTTGTTATAAAAGACAACTACAATTGCTTTTTCTTAATTTTATTTTCTCTTAGTCAGCCTTATCTAACTTCTTTTAATGTTTTTTCAAATAACCAAATCAACTATGGTGACATGGATGAGCCTAGAGGGTGGCATGATGGAAGTTTCAAACTTGCTCTTCTGAGAAACTCTGTTTTTTCCTGGCACCATCTGCTATCTTGGACTAGTAACTTGGTAGGTCCCTGCCACTGCTTATCTTTCAAGGAATGCCTTGCCTAGCATTCCTCTCACTACCACAGTGCATAAGACCGATAGTGTTTTCACCACCTGGGCTGCCTTTATGGCAAGATAAAACTAGTGGGGAAAATGACTTCATATCTCTATTGCAGCCTCCCTACGCTGTAGGGGGAAGGCATGGGATTAGGACATTCAGCCCTTCATTCAAGAACAGAGATATAGAAGTTTTATTACTTTAAAAAGAAGATTACTTTAAAAAGAGAACATGCAAAGTTCCAAATTACAAGATGAAATACCTAATACAGTTTTCTGGATAGACTTCTTTATCGATGTTGGAAGGACTGTGGAAAGGAAATCAAGTCCTTCCTTCACACATCTGTTCCTCAGAAATAAATAGATTTATGAAGCAAAAGTTCTCTGCTTGGTTTCCTGGACTTTTCCAGGAAAATATATGAAATAAGCTTATTGATATCTTATGAGAGTCTTACATTTACTACACTAACAAAAAACAAAAACTTAATCTGCTTTTGAGAATTCAGAATACAATTTAAGATTTTTTTTAATGTCAATACTAAATCTAGAATCTGTATGTACTTTTCTATGTATATCATACTATGATACTTGATTAATTTAAATCTAAAAGCCAAAGGTTTACTAAGTCATTTACCCCCCTCCCCTTTCAGTATATTTTTCTGGCATAATGTAGTCAAAATTCAGTTTTAGGGACGTTAAGCTCATTGAGTTATTGGGCTCGTAATTAGCAAAAATCAGAAACCTGTATTGCTGAACATATTAATAGGATCCACAAAGGATTAACGATTACTTTAACTCCCCAAAATATACACTTAACTGCTGCTTCTTTAAAAAAAAAGAATATGGAGTAATGCAAGCAAGTAATTATTTATACAATATCTAAATTAGAACAATTCTGCACAGCAATCTAAACTACTTGGTTGTTCCCAAGGCTGATTTAAAAGATTTCCATCTTGATTGTAATTCTTTAGCAATGGACCAGGTTAGTGCTCAGTTTGGACTATGACCACTAGGGACTAGGGTTCTCTTGCTTCTTGCCCCTCATTCATGCACGGAGGGCAAGTCTCACAGAGAGGGCAAGTTTATAACTGCCTGCCTTTTTTTAAAGAACAGTTCTCTCTTCACTAGTCCTTCTCCTTTTTCGTGGCTTTCCCAAGTTTGCAGGCACTGATTTCTTAACACTTCCTTCCCATATTCTCCCCTTTGACACCAATTCTTCCTCCTACCTTTATTGCATAGTCATTACTTTGATGCCAGAATGAGCAAAGCAAAGAGAACAAGGGTTTCTTCCGTTTCTGTGTTCTACTGTGGCTCTACAGAAACTTTGTGGTAGAAACAGAAATAAAAGAAAATAGCTTCAAATATGATAGCATTCCAGTACAAGATGCACAGGATGAAAAATAAAGTACCGTATGCTTCATCCAGCCTGGGGAAAAACCAAAAGGACACCCCACTGGAAAATGAAAGAGTGCAATGCAAGTGTGCTGTCAAAACTAGTAAAGAAAACATGGTGACTAAAACACTTTACTGGATTTCATGGGCTTTTAGAGTCACTGATAGATCAAATGGAAGGAAAAAAGTGCTGCTGGTCAAATGAGAACATAGCAGCCCAGGATGAAGTAGGTTTATAGGCAGTGACTAACCATTGGAGAGGAAGGGGTATATCTGGTACTGTGGCCAACTGGATTTGAAGATTTCCCTAGACTGGAATGAAACAAGGTAGACTAATTGCTCACAAATACTTCAGATAGAAAGGATAGAAAGTATTATTTCTGAACCAGAATTTCAAAACATGAGCAAGGGGTGCATCTGCAATGGATTGAGAATGCATGGAGGATGGTATTGGCCGATCCTGCACTCAAGAAACGGTTGGTAGCCTGTATAGGCAATAATATAAGCAGAATCTAGTATTCCGTAAAGTTGAAATTTAGTTCCTGTTAGAATAAATATAACAACATTTTTTCTATTTGTTCAATAAAAACGTTATGATTTACAAGCAATACATTCAGGAATTTTTTTATAAGATGTATTTATATTATTATTCTAAGGTTATAATTTATAACTTATAATGCATAAATAAGAAAAAAAGATATTCGTGATAGAAAATTTAAAATAGACTGAATAATCACTGGATTAAATCTGTACATATATTCGTGCAAAATATTGCACATTTGAAAGTATAATTTATATACGGTGTTATAATTTGGAAAGGGATCCAAGGATATGTTCATTTCTCTAATTATTATATAATTATATAATTATTTTATCTATAATAATTATATCTAATCATTATATACAAATGCTCAAAGTATTGGGGGTCAATGTTAAATCCTATAGATTCAATAATGCTAAATATTCTGCAATATACCGTAACTAAAGCTTTTTCCAAATACCTCTCTCACCCAACCATTTTGCAAGTACTCTTTAAATTATGGAAGAATATTAGTCTCTTGCCAGAAGAGCAATTTCAGTTCCTCTTTTGTTTAAAATGTAGGTAAGATTTGTCTATGTAAGCCCCTTAACATTCCATGTTATAAGAAAAAGTGATGTGAAAGTAATTAACACTCATTTTATAATCTAATGAATTAGTATTTTTATAACCTTTGGAATAAAGATCTTGAAGGTTCTATTACAGTAAATCAGCATAAGGTACTTTAAAAATAAAATTAGTCTCTTGCTTAATAGTTTGTGATACAAGGGAAACATGTTCCATATTATTGGCTCATTCAGTTGTGCCCTTTAGTTGAAAAAAAAAAAAGCTATTATGATCGGGTAGTATAAAACAGGGGTCTCCAACCGGCACCGGCACCGGCACCGGTCCGCAGCATGCCAGCAAGCGGGCCGCACAAACAAGCAAAGCTCCATCCTTGGGATGCAGGCAGTATTCAAACCACGCCCCCATGGGTCCGTGGAAAAACCTTTCCCCATGGTACTGGTCCCTGGTGCCCCAAAGGTTGGGGACTTCCGGTATAAAAGGTAAATACAGAAATATTATTTAATTGTATTTGCCGTATTTGATTGTTAGAAATACAATTCTAGAGGTCAAATATTAATTCACATAGTTTGTGCTTATCCTACTACTGTCAGATTTTGGACTAAAATTCAAATTTAACAAATTAACATGATTTTAAATTAAAATGCATACGTTCCTCTTGATTGTATCCTCAGTATCTGGACTCTATGAAGACTGGTAAACTCTTTGCACATGAACAATGAAAGGGTTTGTTTTTGTTTTCTGTAATATCACATTTAATAAGAAATATGTGTATGATTTTTGCTAATTTATGTGATACAGTAATATTATATCAGCATATATCAGGACTTTATTGGATACAAATTATCTTATATGTTACTTAGAATTCAGAATTTTTATAGTTTAGAATCCAGAAGTGATTTCTGGGAGAAAATGTAAACTTATTAAGCAGATATTAAAAATAGCATTTCAAATATCTGTGCTTACCACCAATATTTGTAATAGATTCTGGTCCAACAAGCTGGTTTTCAAATAATCTTTCTGCCTGTCGAAGCTTAACATTTGGCTCTAAAGCACCAGTAAGAAGAGGAGGTTCTTTAAAGCTGTCGAGAAGAAAGATTTTCATAAGCATACAGAAGAAATTAATACAAATTAATGTCTGGGGTTTACCAAGTAACTTAGATGTATCAGATATTTTTCAAAAACAGCATAGTTCAATTTATCCAAAGCAATTTATGCAATTATTAATTTCATATTTGGTAACAGTTTCTGTAAGCTTAAGGTTCAAGCCAATGAAGTGGGTAACAATTTTAACAACATTAAACATTACAATTAAAAAGATAAAAATAATGCAAACTAAAAAAATTAAGAGTAAAAAGAAAAAATAGAAAAGAATTGAAAGAAAAACAGAAAAGGAAAAATATATTAAAGAAAAACTATATTAAGAAATGATTTCCGCCTTCATCACAACTATAAACAATTTTAGTAACTTATCCACTTCTGTTAAAATACAACAAATGATCTTTTCTCCCCATATTCCACCTCTTATCTATAAACAAATCCTTAAAGCCTCGTCATTCAGTCCAGGTCAGCAAAAGTTCATTAAGAGTTACCAGAAATAGCATCATATCTACTTTAACCTTGATCAAATAAACCATATTTATATCCCTCCCTTTTACTTTTGACAACTTTGGTTTTTGATCCTTTCACATATTGTCCTAAATTTGATTTGATTTCATTTTTTTATTTGTTCTTTCCCTCAAAATCCTTCAAAACATTAATAGATCTCTTTTGTAAATCCAATATGGAACAGTTATCTGGGTTAACCTTTTGAAATTGTCATTTGTATGTAACCTGTAATTATTAAAACATCAGTGGGTTTCATTTGTATATCCAATATATATTGTTTTCCAAATTATTTTTGTCACCTAGCATTTTTAAATTCCTGTTCATATCCAGTCTTGCATTAATTGACCTCTTGGTGGGTTTTGGTACCATCGACCATGGTATCCTTCTGGACAGATTCAGAGAACTGAGGGTGGTTGGGCATGGTATTGTGTTGGTTCATCTCCTTTCTTTGGAATCAATTCCAATTGTGGTGATTGGGATCTCACCTTCGGCCCCTTCAGCGTGGTGTGCCCCAGGGTTCAGTGCTCTCTCCTCTCCTATTTCACATCTATATGATTCTATTAGATGAGGTTATCTGTCACCATGGGGTGAGGTACCATCAGTACACTGATAATATCCGGTTATATATCACTGCCTCTTGTTGTGACAGTCTTATGCCAGTGTAAGTCTGTAAGGGTCTGGGATGGGGAACAATAGGCATTAGCTAAATTTTGAGTGGCTTTTGGTTTGGGGGCCTATAGTTTTTGGACTGTAGTAGATAGCTATTTATTTATTTATTTATTTAATAATACGCAGTGCAGGCTAAAGAAAGTAATTATATTACCGAAGACAAAAAAATGCTTATAGTGTTAAAGAGCTGGTATCCCCCAAGGTCATCCACACATTCCTTTACACTTTTCTACTGACTTTGGTGGCAGAAAAACGGCAAAAGGTTGCCTTGCTTAACAACTGTAGGATTCGATTAACAATGGAACTACAGGGATTGCTATTGCTAAGCGATGAGATTGTGCTTTACAACTGGATCGCTTAAGACAGAGATTCTGGTCCCAATTGCTATCATAAGTCAAACACAACTCGTAGCGGCTTAAAGATTGGCTACTGAATGCAAGCAGTGCAGGATGAATGGAAAATTGAATGCTTAGCAAAATATTCAAAATGAGCAGAAAATAAGAGAAGAATGAGAAGCGTCTCCTGGAAGTTTTTAAGCAGAGACTGGACAGCCATTTGTCCGAAATGGTGTAGGGTTTTCTGCCTGAGCAGGAGGTTGGACTCGACCTCCAAGGTCCCTTCCAACTTTACTACTACTACTACTACTACTACTACTACTACTACTACTACTACTACTACTACTACTATTATTATTATTATTATTAATGGATAAATGTATAGGAAATGTTTCTGGTCTCACCTGTAATGCACAGGTGAGGACATGATTATTTATTTTAGTATGGCAGAATGCTGTTACTAGCTGAGAAGCTGAATGAATTACAGTGAATGCTACACAGAAGATGATAGTTGTGTTTGGCAGGGAAAATAGAATGATTGCAAATTATATATAAATAGCAAACACTAGAAAAATATGTGAATTTATGTACTGTGTGTTGGTAGAATATTTACTAGAGTTGAGAAAATAGATGGAAAGGAAGTAAAATGAAATTTAAAATGCTAAAGCTAATGGGTAATGTGTCTATATTGAGGAAATGGATATTTATTAAAAGAAGCAAAGATTGCTGCATATAAAACTACTTCCTCCCATTTTGTTATCTGAAAGTGAGGTCAGGTATGTCAGAAGAAACATAAAAGTACATTGAATGCAATGGGAATAGGAATGGAGCATTTAAGATGTATGGTAAAATATAAGATAGTGGATGAGTGTGGACTGAATACAAAAGTAAGTGATCCATATGAAATAAATATGTTGAGATAGTTTGGTCATTACCCATATTGAAAATGCAGGTAGTCCTCAACTTACAATCATTCATTTAGTGACCATTTGAAGTTACAACAGCACTGAAAAAATTGACTCATAACCAGTCTTCACACTTACAACCATCATAGTATTCCCCGTGGTCATATGATTAAAATTCAGGTGCTTGACAACTGGCATGTATTTATGATGGTTGCAGCATCCCATTGTCCTGGGATTGCCATTTGTGACCTTCTCAGCTGTCTTCCAATGAACAGAGTTAAATGGGGGAAGCTGGATTCACTTAATGACTTCCTGATTTACTTAATTGCTGTGATTCACTTAACAGCCATAGCATAAAAGTCATATAATCAGGCATGAGTCATGTAATAACTGCCTTGCTTAACAACAAATTCTGTTCCCAATTGTAGTCATAAGTCAAGAACTACATGTACTTCATTGTAATTGCTCCCTAAAGTCTTGTAGTCTCCAAAAGGGGATATGAAACTTAATAGATCACATTAAAATATACATACAAAATAACATCATGATGCTATTCCTTTCTGGGATAAGTAACAAAATGCCAAAAAGGAATGAGAAATAATAAGCTGGATTTTAAAAAAGAGAAGAAAATATATTTACAGTGGTACCTCAGTACTCGTCGTTAATTGGTTCTGGGAGGCATGATGAGTACCAAAATTGATGAGTGCCAAACAAAATTTTCCCATAAGGAATAATGTAAATATATTAATGCATTCCCAAACCAAAGACAATGCACATTTTAAGGCAATGTGTAAAAAGATAGAGTTTATTTCTCATTACTTCACATGAGAAATAAACCTAAAAATTAATACGTAGATTAAATAAAAACTGCACTTTACCTATATTGATGAGAGAAAAAAGTGCAAAAATACACAAAATGACTAGAGAAGCTAAGATAAGATTGCAAGGAGATGTGCACAGAGCAAGAGCTACTACTGTGTGACTAATATGTCACCCTATGCTTTGGCTGAAAAGGATAGCGAGTCACGAGATAACGGACAATGACAAGTTCTAGCTTGTACATTGCGTACCAAAGAACATAGTTAAAAACAATGACAACTTTTTAAATTAAATATATTGTATCTGTTAAAATGTAATGTTTAGGAAGGAGCAAATAAAAGCAGTATAGGGCACCATAGGTTCATCTGTTAATTTGGAAGATATAAAACAGTTGTCTTTTCATTTCCGTACAACTGTAAGTAATGGCACAACAGTTTTTCTAAACAATTGACTACAGCACTGTTCCATTCATAAAGCTAAAAGGTCCTCATAACAATGTCCACAGTGAACGTTTAAGTCACATGCAAAATTCTGATATTAAAGATGCTTATGTACTCACCTAATAGGCTGAGGGTCTATTGGACAATCCAGAAAAATGAGCGCTCCAAATAATGGGATAATTAATAACACAGCTAAAGTCATGAAAGTTACACGAAATATCCTGTTGCTGTAAGTGCTGTAAAAATAAACAAAACCATAAATTAGAACATGAATATACAAAAGCAACTAACAATGTAAGAGTCCACCTATATCAGGCCAGTAGCTATTCCAGCATTCTAGTAGCTAACAAGATGCACTCTGCATGCTCAAAAAGATGGATAATAGAAAGACAGTGTTGTTCACCAATAAAGTATTTAAATTATGCTATCCCAATTTTTTAAACCATTTTTCTAGCACCCTTAAATATATATTTCAGTAAACTGCCTTACCAATTTCAGGACAAGATTACTTTGCCAAGAAGTAAATTTCTACTATGCAAACATGCATTAGAATTTGCAGGTGTGCACGTTTATTTTTCCAGATGAGCCAAATAATTATCTCAAAATATGCTAAGTAGGAATCTGGGAGTTGAAATGTAAGAAATTTAGAGAACATACGGTTGGGAAAGATTGCTTTATAAATTATATAATTTGAGGTTAGACTTCAAACCTCAATATAGATGCTGAAAAAGAGTTTAAGAATAAGTGGGAGAAATAGAAATTCTGTGGATAAAATCAGCTTAAATCTCACTCTTCTAAAGTAAATGTTCCTTTAATAATTTCAAGATTTTTTTAAAACACCAGCAATCGTTAGTAAATGGAAAAAGAAGTAAATAAAATATCCAAATCCTACTTGATACATTATCTTCTATGCCTCTAGATCAGTGGTGGCGAACTTATGGCACGGGTGCCAGAGGCGGCACTCAGAGCCCTCTCTGTGGGCACGCGCGCCGTCGCCCCAGTCCTAGGCCTTCAGCTGGATTTTATAAAACCTTTTTGCTTTAGGCTTCCGCCACCATGTGCAAAAAAAAAAAAAAAGGTTCAATCAGTCAATTTCAACTTCTCCTGGGAAAAAAAAAGATCTTGCAAAGTTGGAATTAATTGATTGAACTTTTTAGTCCCACCCAGTCTGTCGTTACCACCACAGCCACGCCCACCCAATTTGCCATGCCCACCCAATTTGCCACACCCAGCCAATGGGCCACACCCACCCGGCACTCGACGATGCGTAAGTGGGTTTTGGGTTGCAGTTTGGGCACTCAGTCTCTAAAAGGTTCGCCATCACTGCTCTAGATACTGTATGGTCACAAAGCTTCCCTCCTTAACAATAGTATGCAGTCTTTGCTCAAGTAAAACAAATTTCTCCAATATATAACTTCAGTTCTAAGGCATGGGGGTACTACAATACTTTGGATGCTAGTTTTGTATGGGGTATAGTTGTGTGTTTGTTGGGGTTTTTTTTTAGATAAAAATGCAGTCTACTCTGCTTAAAGGATAGTAAAATTGCAAGGATTTGAAGTACAATTAAACAGTTGAAATATGTGTAGAATACAAGGTGGACAACCTGAGGCCTCAGAACCACTCCAGTCTCTCAAATTCTCTTTTTGCAACTGTTGGAGATCACTCTATCAAGACTGCTGAAAACTAATAGCTGCCATTTTCAAGTATGAAATGAGTGAAAATTTTGTTGCAATCCTCAAAGGCATCCCTGCCCAACATAAAAAACAATTTACAAAACTTCTGCTACCATATTTCCAAATCAATAGGTTGTCTTATTTCACGAACATCTGCCATTTACAGAAAGTTCAGAGGTTTTTTTTTTACAGAGGTATATAAATTGAACAGGCACCAAATTTGTAATATTCTGTAAGTGTAGAAGATGGATACAAGCCTATGATACAACAGCTTTAGCATTAGCTAAATATTACAAAAAAAATTACAAAGATTTCAGCCCTTCTGTTAAGAAGTATGTCTATAAGGTTCTTGATTCTGGGTAGACTATGAAAAATAGCTTTGAGCAAACTACTTGAGCTTTTCTCAGTTTTGTGGCTTCTCAGTTTTGTGGCATAATATATTGAACTATTACATATGACATTTAAATCATTGCTTTCACAATATGAAATTTGCAAACAGGATGGAAACTGTCTGAACAAGCCAAATATAAAATTTCATTCACAAAAAATATGGCTAAAATTCTATGCATCCTTGGAAATAATCATTGTCTTATTTCCACATAAATAATGCAAGATTGGCATGTAAAGTTATAACGTGGTGCCTGTATTAGTTCCCAAAAATAACACAGAAAGGGGGAAGGGAGTTTTTAATGTAACATTCATAATGGTTATGCTATTTGAGGATTCTGAAAAATTCATATAGGTAGTCCTCAACTTACAACCACAATCGAGCCCAACATTTCTGTTGCTAAGCAAGGCAGTTGTTACGTGAGACATGCCCCATTTTACTAGATTTTTTTGCCATGACTGTTAAGCAAATCAGTACAGTTATTAAATGAATCATGTGGTCATTAAGCAAATCCAGCTTCCCCCATTGACTTTGCTGGTCAGAAGCTGCCTAGGAATGTTGCAAGTGATAATTGCAGAACCCTACGATGTGAATACATGCCAGTTGCCAAGCATCCAAAGTTTGATCATGTGACTGTGGTCATAAGTCACCTTTTTCAACGCCACTGTAATTTTGGTCATTAAATGAATGGTTGTAAGTTGAGGACAACCTAGAGCAGGGGTAGGCAACCCTGGCTCTTTTATGACTCGTGGACTTCAACTCCCAGAATTCCTGAGCCAGCATGACCTAGAGAATGTTTCCCTAATTCACTTCTCCCATCTCCAGTTTATAACATAAACAAGTACCAATTAGTAAGCTATTTCTTGCAGATTGCCAAAAGGCAATGACAATGCAACACACAAAATCCACAATTTTGCAAGAACATGTTTACTCTTAGAAAAAGAGAATAGTCCCTCCTACTACCTTCTCATAGTAACTCTTGATACATGAGTTGGGCTGTGAGTGAATGATTGGTTACCCAACTAGCTTGCCTGTGTAAAAGAGGATTAGGACTCACAACCCCCCACTTTCTAATCCAGTACCTTTACCACAGGCATGTCCAAACTCCGGCCCGCGGGCCATTTGCGGCCCGCGGACCGGTTTAATCCGGCCCGCTAAGAGCCCTCCCTGCTCTATTTAAATGCGGCCCTCCCACACTTGTCCAGCGGCCCTCCCACACTTGGCCATTTTGTATTGGTTATAGTACATTCTAGCAGCTGCTTGTTCAAGGACTGGCACAAAAGGCCGTGGCTGAAAGGGTGAGT